GGGGGGGGAGGGGGGCGCGACTTTTTGTCGTTACTCGTTGAGGTCGATTTTCATCTTGTCTGTACAGCATCACACGATTTCGGACCCACCTAGAGAAACGTGGTCTGCAGCCAACCCCAACAAGGAAGAGGAAAAAACAGAGAGAGCGAGAGAGAGAGAAACACGCCCTGTGCCAATGCAATAGACCTTCAGTGATCTCACCACTTAAAAGGTAGATACAAAAGGAATGTCCAGAGCGTAACAAGCCTGGACAGCCTTGCATCCTACGGCGTCGTTCCTCGTGGCTCAACACGACCGTGAACAACCGCAGGAAGAGCGCAAGACACACAACGCACAACCTGCACCGGTAACCAGAAAAAGGCAAAAGAAAATACTTCGCCGGAACCAACAGGCACGGGCTTGTCGCCGAAGCTCGAGGCGGCGCCCGCTCACAAGGCGACGAAGCACCCCTTCGACAGGTAGGGTATACCCCCGATCCCAACTCATCACGATCGCAAACAAAGACAAGATGTAAATAGTTGGCGACAACCATCTCCTGTTCCCAATGGTCGCTGCCGGCTGGCGGTTGCTTACCACTGCGAAGAAGGGCTTCCTAACCGTCGCCAGGCCGCTATCCATTTTCCCGATGAACCACGTGCCGATGTTGCAGATGACGGAGTTCAAGAAGAGCAGGATGGCCACGCTGGTGCCCGCGAGTTCCTTGGGCAACTCCATCTGTTTGGTCGCAAAAAAGAGGATGGAAGGAGGGGCGGGAGGTGGGGCCAGACAAGGTCAAGGTTTGCTGTTGAAAAGCCTTGTGGTTGCAATGCAGACACGCACAGAGAGTGCGGCGCGGTGCAACCACCAGCTTCATTCTTACAAAACGGTATGCAGCCTGGGCCGGCGAAAAACCGGCGTATCGCTCCGTCCCGGCATTGAAGGGAGGCGAGGTCAACGGCCGGCCAAAAAGACAACCATGAAAGGCATGCACCACCATGACTACCTCCCTCCGATTCACCTACATAGGTGAAAAATACCTGCAAGCACGCCATCCCAGGCCCCAGCCAGCACTCCCCCACCAGATACGACAGAAACAGGGCCCCAACAGACACGTAGAAGTCCTTGGCGAAGAGCACGACGGCCATGGGCCCGATGGCCGCCAGGGACCCCAGAGCGGGGATGTAGCCGAGCACCCCCTCGTTCCGCACGCGCAGGCGGTCCGAGATCGCGCCGCCCCCGTAGGAAGAGGCCATGCCCCCGACGCTCACGAAGCCGGCGTTGATGATGCTGTAGAGGGCGACCTGGGAGGGGTACTGCCTATGGTAGTAGACCTGTCGGACAGGGTTATTGGAGGGTGCAAGATTAGCATGTGGGGTTAGGGACACAACAGTAAGGCTCGGAATAGGGCGGACGGCCTTCGCGAGACTTCATTACTAATCCATGATATAGAGGGGGGGGGGGGGTGTACTCATAGTCGTGCATGCCGTAGTCTTTAGACCATTGACCTCGCATCCCTACAAAGCCGGGACGGAGCACGCCGGGTTCTCACCGGACCAGGCTCTCACATCACCAAGCGCGAAGCGCCGTGAGATATTCGGCGAGTCGCATGAAGGGTGCGCTGCATCCTGCTAAGGGTGTTCGGCATCTTGTGCTTACTTCCTTGCGTACGGATGACAGCTGCGTATGATTTAATTTATTTTCTGGTGCTTTCACTTCCAGTGACAGTTGTTATCACTGTGTAACTGTCTCGAGGGTGCTTGACCATTGTAACACAACGTGGTGCGATCATCCCCCTTGCGCGGAGTGAGGGTTNTGTGCTTACTTCCTTGTTTACGGATGACAGCTGCGTATGACTTAATGTATTTTATGGTGCTTTCACTTCCTGACAGTTGTTATCACTGTGTAACTGTCTCGAGGGTGCTTGACCATTGTAACACAACGTGGTGCGATCATTCCCCTTGCGCGGAGTGAGGGTTCTCGACCCTGCACAACATGATCTACTCGACCACCATTATGGTTACCGCCCAAAAACAAAAACGGAGGTAAAAAAAAACAAACGGTAACCTGGTTGCTGAGTTCACGAAGTGGCTTGTTTTACAACGTCATTGCCAAGCGACGAAAACCCAATCCCGAT